CTCCTAAATCTGTATTATCGACCTTAATTGAGTTCCGCCGTTGCTTTAGCATCCTCTTAAAAGTCCTAAAACATAACTTACAATAGTAAACTGTCTTAATATAATTATTGTATAGTAAAATAATAAATTTTAACCTTGCTCTTCACAATACATAGATGAAGTTGATTGTAACTCAAATAACGAAGATACGGGAGACGAAATAGATGTGTTAATTGATACAGTTACATTTTCTTCTACCCAATTTTTTTTCATCATCTCGATCCGTTATTAAAGTTGCATCACTACTATCGTGATTTGATCTGCTACTTTCTATCAAGTTTTCTTCATTGTCTTGATTCGTTGGTAAAGTTACATTACTACTATCCTCATTTGATCTAATATCTTCTACCAATTCTTGTGAACATGTAAAGCAAGGATTAGCCCCATCTTTTAATTTTGTTTTTAATAATTCTCGCTGAAGAATGATGAAAAATCATAATAAATATACATATGTAGAAGACAACTTGATTTATATGACAATAAAAACGTATTTATTACCTTAAATATTATGTTTCCATCTGAATCCTTGATTACATTTTTTCTTAAAATGTAATCCTTGTTAAAATAATCTTCACAAACGAGGAAAATTTTAGGTATTTTTATATTCGGATATGCACTTTGGATTAATGCAATCCATTTTTCGCGTTGTTTCATGTTACTTGGAACGCGAAAAAGTGATTTCTTACATGTTCGAACGCAATTAAGAATTAGACAATTAAACGGCATGATGCTATGCAAAAATAAAAATGCTTAAAATTTCAAAACTTTTATCGTATGTATTTTAGAATTACCGTCCACGTGTTATAAATTCTTCTTATTCTTCGTCTTGTTCATACTCCTCGTAACAAATCTTTAGAGGTCAATACGGATTACGTCAACAACAGAATATGCAAAAGTAAGTTTGAATATTAATGCTCGTTTAAAGCCAGCCAAACTTTCCAAAAATGTCACGGTGTAAGAATAATTATTCATGGAATGGATAATTAGTGACCGTGACTGGAAATCAGTACAGTAGAGTATGAGGTTAGGTGTCAGACCATTATGCCCTCTAGCGTTACGTGTTTGAGCTGTCTCAATTTCATCACAGCTTCTCTAGGCAAAAATCGGCGAATGGAATCACCTATTATTCTTAGGGTGCCTGTACATGCGGCGTACTTTGCGTAAGCGTAACTTGTGTCAGCCAATCAAATCGTTTCATTTATCATACGCAATCCACTTAGTTTTTTCTACGCTTTTTCCCAATACGCCAAATTCAATTTTTCGCGTAAACTGATGAATGTTTGTATATTAATGATACGAGTATGTATATTTCTGAGAGATCACCGAATAAAATTTCGATTTTAATTTAAAAAAGATGGATCAAATTCGGGTAAAGTAACATTCTTCTAAGAAATTCTATATAAAGTTTCTAAAAATAATTTTTTTTTAATATTTGAACGTAATTTAATACATCGCTTGCACAGTATAACAAAATAATTTAAAGATTATGTCCAACTATTAGATATTAATTCTTATTAATGCAGACATTTTTATTACAGTATAAATGTGGATACTGCGGATGGCTTTTCGGGTTCAACACAAACTTTATTGATCACAATTGCTTTAAAGGTTATGTTGAAGATGTAGATTATATCAAAATTGACGAAAACTATGTTGTGACAATAGGTATGATTGTTATATATGGTTCGATCTTTATGTTTAGTTCGTTCTGTTAAGTAAATTAAATAATATAACTTTTTTATAGTCGAAAAGAATCCAACAATTGTTGAGAGGAAAGGAAATTTGGATGAATTGTTGATTGAAGCAGTTAGAAACAAATGTGCACTTTATGATTTTCGTATACCTGCTTCGGAAAGAAGTATGTTGCGCAAGAATGCATTATGGATGGAAGTTTCGAATATATTACAAGGTACATTTTACCATCTAGGATTTATTCTCGAAAATTATCGCAGACGAAGATACTAAGGATATTTATAATATTTGTAACATATACTATAATATTTTTGCCTCGGTAGTCTAATGGCTCAGGACGCTCATACGGTTTACAAGAGATCCGGGTTCAAGTCCCGGCCGAGGTAATATTTTTCGCAATAAATTTATTAACAGTTTTTA